AGAGAACAAGAGAAATTAGATTAATCAGGGTTTCTGTATGTTTTAGCTAATGAAGAAGAGCTGCACCATGCTGCTCTCAGGCGTAGTGAATGTAATCGGATCTGCCCTGGTCAGAATGAAGTATAATACCCTGATTCCTGTGGATCAGGAGTCCTCACGGGTCAGGAGCTCAGCTCTTTCCCAGCAGGATATAAAATGCTGCTGCTTCACCGATCTGACTCTTTAAAGCTCCCCTGCATGGACTTGCACACAAATAAATGGCTACCCAACATCCAAGCCGGTAGAGAAAAAAAGGCGCTTAAATTTGTTAAGAGCCAAACCATTCTAGCAAGCTTTCACCCTCAGTAATCAACTATTTCCTGTGGCCACCAGCAGATCAGGAGCTTGAGTAAAAAATCACTGGAAACAACTAAAATGGTTTTGAGAGCATGAATACATGTCAGAGCGGGTGACTCAGTCAGCATTGCATGTGGAGAGCACGCCTGCCTGTCTGCGCTGGGAGGACATGTCCTGCAAGGAGAGAGTTATATACCTGGTGCACAGAAATGCTGTGAGGAGCCAATAGCTGCTACGTGAAACAGGATCGGATGATGCAGAAGGACTGTGCGGAAAGTGCCTAAGCGGTGCCGCAGTGTTTTTAAGGAGCTACACCCTTCCTACAGGCCCGGCACGAGCCCATAGAGATCAGCAAGGATTTTCTGAGTGACAGTGAGGAGCTTTGGATCAAACCCTGAAACCTCCGCAAACATCCAGAAAAGGCCAAATTGATTTTCCCAGCATCGAGTGGTGGGGGGAGGCTGAAGCCGAAATTCAGGCAGAGGCGGACAACCCAGCTGCACAGGCAGCTGGTAACCAGGTGGTGACAAGATGCGAGGAGCGGCGCTCCTGTCCGTACGCCTCTTGGCAGGGACGAAGCAGGGTGCTGACTGGGGCCCTTGCTAGGACTTGACAGCTGAGTCAGACCTCTGCGTGAACCTCTCCCCGTCTTCTCCTCCCACGGACCCACCAGCCATCGCTCGGTGCGTCAGACAAAGCGCTGGGCACGTCTGCTGGGAGAAACGCGGCTGAGCGTGGCGCGCGTGCGCTGGGGAGGCAGCCATACGCCGCCGCGAGGGTGCGGGGAGCCCGAAGCGGGAAACAGGAGAAATGCCATTTGAAGCTCGCTGTTGCTTTTGCTGGAGCTGGCCATATTTTGGCGTTGGTGGGAGCAGAAAAGGAGGCCGTTTGAATTCATGTGCCTCACTTGAGAGATCCAAGCCTGCAAGTACAGGGCTGTGCAGGGAGGCAGGTTTGCGTTGCCTCTAGCAGGTGAAAGGCTCCTGCGATGGTAACGCTCTCACTGCAGTCAGCGGTGCAAAGTCCCTCGGAGGATGTTTGCTGAGGTGGAGATGGTCTCTGAGGCTACCTGGAGGACAAGAAGTGGCCTGGATGCTGTAGGATCTCAGATCCAGCAGCCTGTCTGGCTTCACAGGCTACGCTCTCTGAGAGCAGAGCAGAAATTTGTCCGTGCTGATGGCAAACCAGTCGACTTAATCAGATATAGCTTACATCAGAAATGGGGATGGAAAACTTTTAAACGCAAGCCCCTCTGCCTTCCTTTGACAGACACCTCCACAGGAAGAGCAGCTCGCGAGCGTCAGATAGCAAAGACAAGAACTGGAGTAACCATCCTTAACTCAGGTCCCCGCTGTTCCTTCTGCTGCGCGGCGAGAAACGCTGTCCGGGCACTAGGAGCTGAGCTGTGAGCGGTCATTACTCAGCTATAGGCAATAAAGGCCTCTTCTGCCGGGCAGGCTGCTGGGCACCGCGTTTGCAGCCCGCTCACCTTGCAGGGCCACCCTGTCACAGCAGGTGGCCATCGGAGGAGCCAGCGAGGCAGCAAGGGCTGCTCTGTGCGGAGCCGAAAGAGCTTTGTTTCAGAAGCACAGTAATAAAGCCTTGTTTTGGTGAGGGAAATAGAGGAAACAGCCACATTTAGAAAATCATGTCAAGCAATTGGGAGCAGAGGTCTGCCTCGCCTCGGCCGTGGTATTGCTTTCCGGCACACTGTCCAGAAGGGGTGGGAAATGGGAAGGGGTTCGGGCAATGGGATAACAAAACCACGGTCACGGAGGACTGGGCTGGGAGGAAGAGAGAGGGATGGAGGAAGGCATGCAGCGGGGCCAGCATGAGCGGCCAGATTGTGTAATGGGAGAGGGGCGAAAACAACAAAGATACTGGTCATCGCTGAGGCTGGCAGACGCCGCTGCTGGGCCTGCGTGCGGTCATGGCCGCACTGCACCTCTCCCTTCCTCCAGCCCGTTTGATAAGAAAGCAAGGGAGGTGAGGGGATTTGCAAGAGATGTTTTCCAGAAGCTCTGATTAATCCTTTGCACCACAGCCAACTTGAGCAATCTCTGCCCCAGGCATAACAAAGAGGAATCACAGGGTGGGGACAAGCGGCCGGGGATGGGCAGGGACCATTCAGGCAGCTGCCACCACGGAAGCTCTCTGAACTACCACTTGGGAGGATGGTGGTGCCAGTGTAGCACAAACTGCCTGTCACCATGGGTCACAGACTTGTGGTGGGACCCTCGACCCAGGTGACGGCTGCTGGACACGAGCAGGGAAGGCAGTCATGCCCCGGGTGTGCAGGAGGAAGTGGGTGAGCTGCTGTGCTCAGAGGTGAAGAGCAGCCCAGGTCAGCCTTACCCAACCTGTGAAGACATGGGAGGAGGCCTGAAACCAAGAAAACCTGCTCAGCTTTCCTCCACAGCAAGGATTAACTCCCGTCTCAGCAAATACAGCTGCCTCCCCAGCGCGGGCTGCAGCCGCTGGAGAGGGTCAGGCAGGACCTGCTGCGGCGGGGGGGGGGCCGGGGGGGGGGGGAAC